ATGGAAAATTTGTCGAACTGTACTTTATTACATAATAAAAAATATCTATCTATATAATGTTCAATGTGTGTCTATTTCTCTGCCGGATTAAAGGGCAAACATCAAAAGTTAAAGGTTAAGATTTCTAGCATTTTCTAGAACGTTCGAAAATTATGTGAACGTTGGTAGAAGTTTCTAGAATATTCTGGAACTTTCTAGAAGTTTTGTTAAGAACTTTATGCATGGTTGCAAGGTAAAGATCAAATAAGGCTATAAGGGGAAGGTATTCAAGGCCTATTTATATGAGATCCCTATAGGTTCTTAAGCGCTATCCTATAGGTCCTCAGAAACTATTATATGGAGTACCCCTAGGTTCTCAAAGTCTATTATGTGCGAGTACCCATAGGATAAGGGAATAAGTCAACAAGGCAAAATACAAAAAAGGAGGTAAGGCGATATAGGATAAGGTTACAAGGGATATAAGACTATAAGGTCGAAGGCTATATGGACTATAAAAATATGTGCGATATAAGACTATGAGGCCGTAGGACTATCTAACTATCTACGTATATACATAATATCGAATGTCTGTATGTCTGTTACCGGATGTAAAGTTAACTGTCTAAGGTCTTACGTTAAAGAAGAAAACAGTCGTGTAGTATACATGGGCTCTCGCTAGTGATTTTATATTGATTGGTTAATAAATTCAATGTTCTATTGTAAACTTAGTGTTTTTTGTTAATACTCAGCTATATTGATTAACAATACTGACATGTCTTTGTCTGCTAACAGTGGAGACCTACGGGTTCATGTTTTTTTGGGCCCGAACTCGAACAGATTCAGACCCAGACCCGAGCTTTTTTCCATTAATATTTGGCACTTTTTGTGTGCATGACCAAATAAAGAATCAAGATTGTAGTTATTTATTGGTTATACTCAGAAAAAAAGTCCATATAAAGTTATTTCTTCTTGTCGTCCCTCACATGGTTCTATTCAGATTCGAAGCTGAATGCAAAGTGGATCTGATGTTAAAATCGGATATGGACCCGAGTCTAGAAGGATTCATAGGTTCCTAGTCAAGAGTAGTGTCATCTTAAAGTGATTCATTATATAATGATTCCATTTATTATTATTTGTAGTTTAAATGGAATTCTATATTTTTGTTTCTAATCAATTAATTTATATTTAATATATCTGATTTCTCCACATATATTAAATCTATTTCAATGCAATTGATATGAATAAAAAAAGAACAATCTTTGAGAAAATTCTGATAAAATAGAAAGTAATATTTATTATATTTATCACATTTGTTTCAAAATGAATCGTATTATAATATTTTCATTGATTCATTCAGATAAATGAATTTTTATAAATATGCAACAAACTAAAATACATTCTTAACGGTCAAAATATTTCCACAATGAATTGATTTCAAAAGAAATTTCGATGAGAATTCATCAACAACAAATTCTTTGAGAATATTAACATCACAATTGTTCAGATATGAAAAGACACTCGGTTAAAATATGTTGAATCTTTACTATTGATTTTTGTAAAGTTTCTTATTATCTTTCTATTTTTATGGGTTAATCTGGAAGTCTATTGTCATTAGAACTAGTATTTTATCTTTTAATAAAAAATAATTCATCCTTGCAGCACATATTTATCAAAGAATTATAGTTGGCGATTTTTGTGTGACTTGTTTATTAAATCAAAATCGGATAACATGGAAAGCTTTTCACATTTTTACTTTTGTCTTCTTTTAGATATCTTCGATGTCTAGCAGCATGTTGCTATCAGGGTCTTCTATTTCCATGCAATCAAATATCGTTTTTTTTAAGAAGTTTCTTTCTCTTTTCCTTGGTACTTGTAATTATCTATATAATTATAATATAAAATATTAAGAAAAACATAGTTAGATTGATTTTTGTCTTATTTTATTAAAAATCTTTGATTGAATATGATGATCTGCAGATGTTTATTTATAGTTGATCATTTTATATTGAAATACAATAAATGATTTATTGCTTGTAATAGGTTGTGATGGTTCCTTATTGATTAAATAGATTATTGTTAGATAAAAAGCATGCTCATAGCAGAGATGTCCGTCATGAATAAAAAAAACCTTTCGTGTCGTTAGTAGACGCTGGTTTCACTGCGATGAACCTCTCCGATTCATTATGCTGGTATCTTATGTCTATATAAGGTTATGGAATTTTTCTTCATTTATATCAATCTACATAAAACTTGTGAAATTCTAAATGATGAATCAATATTAAATTAAGAAAATCTAAAAAGACGAGAGATATGACCGTAATTGTTCTTTATAATAATAGTGAATATGTATTGATGACAAAACACTAGAATTATTCAATTTACTGTTAAAGTGCATGATAAAATAATAATTGTCAATTACCTGTAATTATTGGAATAAAGCACAAAAATCTCGTGACGTCATATAAGATTCTTTTCTGGTTTTCAATAGATAAAAATCTGTCTCATTTGTGTAATTAGAATAGAAGATTCGATACCATATTTTTACTGTTTAAAATAAAATTGAAGAAAGAAAAAAAGATTATTGTTTATGTCAAAATCGTTTGAAAATCTGATCTGAACTGAATATCTTACTTGTCATATTTAAAGTAGAAAGAAATGTTAATGTCTCTAACAATAAATTCAATTAAAAAAGATTTTTTTTTTTTGTATTAATATTTGGTTAATTTTTCTCTTCTTTCTTTCTTTATATTTTACTCTAAAGATTAAAGTTTGACAAATAAAGAATCAAATTTAAATTAAATAAATTAATAAAAATTAAAATAAAATAATAATATATTCGAAAAATGAATATGTCTTTCTTAGAAACATAAAAACTTTCTGTGTATATTTTCATTCTGATGTTGTTATGATGTTTAACATAAGATGTTGAAATGAAGGAAGAAGACAGATAGTCTATAGCGACCTGCATCGGAGTCAATTAAATTTCTTGTCAAGAAATTTAATTGGCTTCAAAATGACTTTGATCAGGTCTCTAATAGTTCATCTCTTCTATCAATATCATCGTCTTGTCATCCTATTTTTATATGTTAAATGATATCTAAACAAAGAAAAAAATCAGAAAATTTTTTTCATTCATATGTGCCTGATGAAGACAATATTGTTGGTCGAAATATTAAAATTTTATTTCAAGTTTTACTAATTTATTTAACGAAAGAAATTATTTGCTTCATTTGTTAAAAGTATTCTGACTTTTAATTGATTGCTAATATCAGAAATCAGTTGTCAAGAAATAGCTCTCTAAAAGACGTTTGATAATTTCTTCATGAAAAAGTATTACCATATGGAATACGAAGGAAAACGAGAAATCAAAAATTGTTTTCATTGTATTTTTATCGGAAGCTTTGTTTCAAGGAAATATTTACAACTAAGATGTCATTTTGCCTTTACTTTACTAGTGAATAGTAGATACTAAATTACTTAACTTATGGACCAGCTGGAAAAAAGAAATACTTTATGTTAATGGAAAATCCTATCTACAATTATTTGTTTTAGTTTGTTAGTGAGTTTCTTAACGAAAACTGTCTGGAAGAAAGAAAAATCTCTTTGAAGTATTATGAAAATCATCATTTCTAAACTATTCGATGAATTTTCAATTATTTTGGTCACATAGCATGTTTCATGCATAATCTGTTTAAATCTTGTTTATTTCAGTATATGGAAGTCTGACAGGTGTATGCTGTCCTGTTCGACATTGGTGGATGTGGGTGTGGGTGTGGGTGTGAGTGTAGGTATGGTTGTTGACCTGCTTTTTATCTAAACCCACACCCACACCCACACCCACGCCCACCCACACCCTCACCCACACCCACACCTCACACACCCACACCCA